AGCCTAGTGGAAACAAATGTGTTGCTGGTGGGGAAAGCATGTTACTCTCTTTTTTCATGCTGCTCTCTCTTGCTGGCAAAAATAAACTTGGACTATGAATAGGTTAAGAAGCCTAGTGTTGCTTCTTGTCAGGTGTTTACCATTTAAGAATAGCTTTCATTGTATTCTGTTACTTCCAGTGAGCTCAGAAAGATGACCTCTGTTCTTATGGCTGACAAAGTTGTTGAGGAATATAATACCTTTGCAGCTAGGCTCCTCTGGTGGTTACAGCTTAAAGAGAATGCTTCTTAAAAACAATCATACTAGTACTTCAGCTCTGCTGTATTCTTATAATGATTGCCTAGAAGTGACAGATTTCTTTCTTGTTATTTATTAGCCTGTTTGTTTAATGTGCTAACTTGGAAGAATACCCTGGGCTCAGAATACAATAACAGAAATTGCATGAGTCTCATAGCAATTAGCAGACACATGCAAGCACTACTGAATTTTAACAGTCTGGCATTGATCTTAATTCAAAAGACAACTGCCTTTGGTGTGTCTGAACTGCAGAACGTGCTTCCCTTTCATGCTCCCTTCTTTCTCAAGTCCTTTCAGTTCAAAGATGGCTTTACTCCATTACTCCTTTACTATATACTCCCTCTTTGTTACCATCTGTATCCTCTATCACAGCTGTTTAGTCCTCTATGTTCTTACTAACTTGTTTTCTTTATTTGCATTTTAATTGAGGTTGTTGCTTGTATCCTGTAACTGGTTTTACATTAACATGGCATGGAAAGGATTGACACAGGTTGTAGGGTTTTTTAATTGAATTCTCTGGAAGATCTGCTTGTGTGTGTATTGGGGTTTTTTTGTTGGGCTTTTTCTTGTTTTTGTATTTGTTTTTTTTTAATTTTGCATGTATGGTGTTTTGTTTTTTTTCCTCTCCACAGAATCACAATAAGCCAGAAATAACTGTAAAGCAATTTATAGATTGGATGCGCTTAGAACCACAGTCTATGGTATGGCTACCAGTTCTACACCGCGTGGCAGCTGCAGAAACAGCAAAACATCAGGCCAAGTGCAACATCTGTAAAGAGTGTCCAATTGTTGGCTTTAGGTAAGAGGAGGGGAGTTGGGTGCTCTGAGAATATTCACACTTCTATGTCTTCCAGCAAGTACAGTTCTTTCTGTTGGTTTTCCCACCACCCGTGGTGCATTTCTGGCTCCTGCAGTACCGCTGTTAGGCACCCATGGTCCTGTGACTGACAGGTGTGCAGGGCAGGCGGGCATCGGGTGTTTTCACATTGGCAGATCCGGTAGGTAGCAAATGAATTCTAAATGCATCCCGTGTGTTCTGTAAGCACAAGACCAAAAGGAGCTGATCAGTAGGGAAAAAATGTGGGCTGGCTGGCCGCTCTCCTGCATAAGGTTTGGGAAACTAACTCATGCCAGGCAATATTAAACACCCTTCAGCAGCAATGTTTCCTTGCTTAGTGCAAACTTTGGTACTCTGATGAGACTTGCACCGTTCCTGTCCAAAGCATCGATGTAATGTAACTTTCATCTGTTCAAAGGAAGATGTGAATTCTAAAAAAAAAAAAAAAAAAAATGACACCGGAGGTATTCTCCATGTTATCCTCCTAAACTGTAGAGAGTTGGTATCCTTAGTGAGTACCGTTACAACTAACATGCATTTGTGAGTTGATTTATCCAGTGTATAAAATGATTCACAAATAAAAAAGCAGGCACTAAAGCTAAACATAATTGGCTTTTTCCTCCTCTCTGATCATGAAGTCAACTGTATTATTTAGAAACAATATAAAGCAGTCTTTCTTGTGAGTCTAAGACTTTTGTTTAGATATCTCGGCAGATGAGTGATTTTTGTTCCCCATGCTTTCTGTTTCTCCTTCTTTCTGTTGTTTTAAAGGATAATAATATAAATCCTGAGGTCAGATTCATCTCACCTAGCTTTAGGCATACTGGCGTTAGTCAGTCTTGCAAGATTGAGCTAGCAACTGTCATCTTTTACTATAAATACAGATATGTGAGTACTTCCAAAATTAATCTGAACAAACTTTATTGCCTGTCTTAAGAGGAGGTGACATTCCTCTGGTTGTTCCTGTTTTTTCTTAATTAATGCTTGAGAGAACATAGGGTGACAAAGTTCCAGCTCAGATATCTTTTAGATGCCTAAATTGGGGCTGATGACTCTTGTCAGTACTGAAATATTTTGTGTGGAGAAGGAGTGCATAGAGATAGAAAAGAAGAAAAAGGAAGACAAAAGGTCGTTCATTCTAAATAATTTCTACAATGAAATGAGAGACCTGCAATAACAAAAGCATCTCACATCTTAGCAGAAGGTAGATGTGGCCACTTAATACACAGGTTCAGAGTAAAGACTATAAACAGTTGCATCAGCATCCTTAAAAGTGAACCTTTGCATTTATAGATGCATATTGTCTTGCAAAACAAAGCATAAAACTCAGCAGGGGAAAAATGTGAATTGGTACTGAAGACTGCTCTCAGGAAGCAATTTAATTTAAACTTTAACTATTCAGTAGCTATTCAATTTGGTTCAGTTAGCTCATTTTAGTTTCGTACAAATGATATAACCTCATCCAGTCAGAACAATCATACTATAAAAAACAGTGGGCAGAATCAGGAATTGAATAGTTGCTATAGTCAGCTTTAGTTAAAAATAAATAAATATTGTGCTCCTAGCGGCTACATTTAATACAAGGGATACTGTATCAGTTTGTTTACATATATACGTGCTCTTAAAAAAACCCAAAAGTAAATAAATCAATGTAACTTTTAAACTTAATTTTATAATTCTTTTATAATTCATGAATTATCAAAGGTTTTAGTTTCTGAGATTAAAATTTCTGAAATTTCTGAGCATCAAAATTATGTGAAAACATGTAAGCTGACTGGTAAATGTAAAAACATGAAAGTAAACCAGTCTGCTTTATAAATGTTTTTTTCTGAGATGCTATCTGAATATTAAAAAGAGGAAAAGAAAAGCTCGAGTGATATTGTTTTAAGTCAGTTTGAACTTTAAAATTATAGACTTTTCACGCTCCATCTTGGAAGCTGATGCCTGTAAGATATTCTGCTTCAAAGCAACTCGGGGAACAGATGATTGACATTGGCTCGCTATATGGCTATAGGAGGCAGGAAGTTCTTTTAAAATACTCCGTGGGGTGACCTGTGCAGGGTAGGAAGGTTGTGTGGAGTGGACTAAGAGGGCTGCGGGTTTCCTGTGCCCCGTGCAGCTGCTGCAGGGGCACCGGTACCCCTGGGTCTGCAGCTGTGACGAGTGTTGGCCGTGCCGTGTCCCGGTTGTGCGCACCCACGCGCTTCAAGGTGCTTTCTAAATTAATCCCAACGAACTCACGACGTCCTTGTGTTGCTGCTGCTGAAAAGCAGATGACGCCATTTCAGAGAATAATTTGCCTTGAGAGGCTTAATAACAAGTAAATATTAGAACTAAACCTAGGAATCTCTAAGTGCTTTGTTTAATGTCCCCATAGGTACCGGAGTTTAAAACATTTCAACTATGACGTCTGTCAGAGCTGTTTCTTTTCTGGCCGTACAGCGAAGGGGCATAAGTTGCATTACCCAATGGTGGAGTATTGTATACCTGTGAGTACCAATTTACTGACCGTTCCTATGGGATTGTTTTTGCACTATTTGAGGTCTAGATTTTCTTCATAGTCTTTTGTCACCTAGATATTTTGCCAGTATTTCTTTTCACATCTTTAGTAGGGCCTGTCTTCCTGTCTTTCTATTTGAGATTCATCAGGGACTTTGCTAGTGCTGCTGATTTTATGTGGGCAGTGTTTGGATTCTGTGGAAATGAGGAAATTATCCACCTCTGAGAGAAGAACTTCACTTTTGTTTTGTGTAAACAAAGCTGGAATATTAAATATAATTGCAGTACTTGTATACATGCCCATGCACACACACTGTAAGGGTGAGAAAACGTCACAGAAAAGGGACTCAGTTTAATATTACTATATCACAATAAAGAATATTTAATATTCTAGTAATGCCCTTCAATATTTTTAAAGGCGTGTGATCTTTGCTTTCAGGTCCTACATTTTGTTTGCTTCATGAAAATGTGGTTGGAAATATGTCATGTTTTATTCTCCTTAGTAATTACTGTTTACTGGGATATTTAAAAATTGGTGCGTAGCTGGAAAAAAAAATAAACAGAATTGACAGTTTCTAATAAAAAATGATGCGAGAAGTTTGCCTGCATTAGCTGGCAATAAAAATTAAATTTACAAAACAGTATGTTCCTAATGAAATTTCAAAGGAATTTTCTAAGGAGGTTTCTAGGAGACTTAAGTGGAGGCGTGGGTAACTTTCGTCATACAAAAAACATTTTAACTTTTTTTATTTGATAGTTGTTTACATCCTTAAGAATTTTAACTCAGTCACAAATAAATGAATGAGATAATCAGTATGTAATTTAAACAGTGGTGAAAGGTCTATATAGTCAGAAAAACAAATTCAAGCCAGAATGTAACTAGAGCTGATGAAATCAAGCTGATTTCCAACAGTGTTACAAGAATCTGTGGGTTCCTCTGTTAGGAAAAAAGTCATACAGTTATTTTACTGTCCTTTGCTGTAGTAGTTGGGCTTATTATCTGTGTTTTCCTACTCTTTTTCATCCAATGTGTCTTATGTAACATAATTCAAATTCCATTAAGTAGTATTTTCACTTCATTATGATCAGAAGAAACCATGAAGTTATGTTAATTTATTTTCATTAATTCTATAATCTAATGTTAGGATTTGATTGATTAATTGGCATGCCAGGCTACATTCTGAAGGATTTTTTTGAAATAGGTTGCAGCTTTGTTGTTACGTATGTTTGTTGTATACTGTCACTCTTTCTTTTCTTTCTGCCTCCTCTTTTCCCTTCTCGCCTTCTTGAGACACTTATTGGATGTTCAAGGGCTATGTTTTGAAATTAAAACATATTTAGAGAGGGGAAAATGTTGCATGTACAAAATATGTAATTTTGTGTAACAATTGACATGTTGAATATAAAACAGTCTATAATATTTCTCTGCAATACAGATTCTTTATCTGATGTAGCTAGAGGTCTGATATGTTTCTTGACATACAATATAATATTTTCTTCTTGGAACTGAAGATGTATGAAAAGGTATTCTGTGCTGCTGCCTGGGCATAGAAATATCCTTGGCATAATTCATAGCATTGCCTGGGTCGCTAATTTTATTTATACAACAGGATTTTTTTTTTTTAATGATTTCAATGATCACATATGTTGCTTTTGACACAACATGGTTAAAGCAGAACTTTTTATCAATTCGTTTAATGCTACGGTGGACACCAAGTTGGCCATGAGCCAGCATTGTGTCCTTGCCACAAAGAAGGTTAACGATATTGTGGGCTGCATTAGGAGAAGGGTCACCAACAAGGTCATTCTTCCCCTCTACTCAGCACTGGTGAGGCCATACCTGGAGTACTGGCTTCAGTTCTGGGCTCCCCAGTATGAGACACATGGACGTACTAGAGAGAGTCCAGTGAAGGGCCACAAAGATGATTAAGAGCCTGGAGCATCTCTCCGATAAGAAAAGACTGAGAGCGCTGTGACTGTTCAGGCTGGAGAAGAGAGAGCTCGGGAGGGGGATCTTATCAATGTCTAGAAATACCTGAAAGGAGGGTGCAGAGAAGAGGGAGCCAGGCTCTCTTCAGTGGTGCCAAGAGACAGGGCAATGCTGCCTGGGCATAGAAATATCCTTGGCATAATTCATAGCATTGCCTGGGTCGCTAATTTTATTTATACAACAGGATTTTTTTTTTTTAATGATTTCAATGATCACATATGTTGCTTTTGACACAACATGGTTAAAGCAGAACTTTTTATCAATTCGTTTAATGCTACGGTGGACACCAAGTTGGCCATGAGCCAGCATTGTGTCCTTGCCACAAAGAAGGTTAACGATATTGTGGGCTGCATTAGGAGAAGGGTCACCAACAAGGTCATTCTTCCCCTCTACTCAGCACTGGTGAGGCCATACCTGGAGTACTGGCTTCAGTTCTGGGCTCCCCAGTATGAGACACATGGACGTACTAGAGAGAGTCCAGTGAAGGGCCACAAAGATGATTAAGAGCCTGGAGCATCTCTCCGATAAGAAAAGACTGAGAGCGCTGTGACTGTTCAGGCTGGAGAAGAGAGAGCTCGGGAGGGGGATCTTATCAATGTCTAGAAATACCTGAAAGGAGGGTGCAGAGAAGAGGGAGCCAGGCTCTCTTCAGTGGTGCCAAGAGACAGGGCAAGAGGCACTGCGCACAAACTGAAACACAGGAGGTTCCCTCTGAACATCAGGACACTTTTTTTTTTTTACTGCGGGGGTGACTGAGCACTGGCACGGGCTGCCCAGAGAGGCTGTTGGAGACACTGAATTGCTGCCTGAACATGGTCCTTGACAAGTGGTTCTGGATGGCCCTGCTTAAGCAGGGAGGTTGCACGAGGCAACCTCTAGAGGTTCCTTCCTACCTCAGCCAGTCTGCGAGTCTGTGACTCTAAAGAGTTTTATTTTCCTTCCAAACGTTAAAATTTTTGCCAATAAAAGAATATACGTACCACTGATTGTTTACTTGCCTTCTTAGCCAACGTAGCCAGAACAGTCTGAACATGTTTGAGAGATAATTTTCTTAGATTTTTTTTTTTTCCTTATAAAGTTCTCTCCAACTTCATCTTCAGTTTATATCATAGTAATGGAGCAGAAATGTTCCTTGTTAATGTCTGTAATATACAGAAAATTCCGAAATGAAGGCACAAGGTATGTCAAAATAGATAATGTTGCTGCTGCACATAATAAGATACCCTTCCTATTGCATTAGTCAAATACTTTTTGGGAAGTTGAAGGGGAAAGCACCAGATTACATCTAATATGGGGTATGGTACTGTCCCTAAAACAGGATGGTATATTTCTTCTGGTGACTTCTGGGTTTTGTCTGAAGCAGCAGATTTGACATCTGAGAGAAATTTTCAGTTCTCGTTAGACGTATTCACATTATGTAACTGTGAGCAATTTCATTTACAAGTAAAGACTGTTGTACAGAAAAACATACTCTGGAAATGGCTGGAAATCCCCACTGTCCCTGGAACTAGGGATGGCTTGTTTCATAACAAAGATTTCTGTTCCTGCTGCAAAAATAATATAATCTTAAAGCAATATTAAGTGCAAAATAAGGTAACCCAAGGCAAGGGTTCTTTCTTTCCATGAAATACATGAGGAATGAGTTGAATCCACTATGGGATAATAAGGGGGAATAAGATGACATTCTTGATTAAAGTGAGTGAAGGTGGCCAAGTGTATAGGAGGTAAAGGAAGGAAACTGGATCTGTTTAAGGTAGAGCAGAACAAAAGACCTGGCATATAATTTAGGTGATGCATAAAATTAGAGGTCCACTACTGCCCTCCATTAATTTGGAAGCTGAATATGGGAGTTGCAGTTTTTCTTGGGTCTTCCTGTAACTACACTCTGCTAGCTCCATTTCTGTAAGAAGAAATGACCCATTGTATGAACAGACTTCTTATATGTCTGTTTGACTTTCATAGTCAGTACCTACCCGCAATCCATTTTAACTAATCTTATCTGAATTAGGTCAGGAATAAAGAATTGATTTCACAAAAAGAATCCAGTATTACTTATTATTAATATGTGTAATAATGCACTCTGGTGTGCTAATTTGTTACTCATTTAATGCAATGTAATGGTCAAGAATGGCAAAATTCTTTGCAGTAAATTAGTAGAATAGCTTATCTGTTTAAATGGAGTCATGCCCCAAAAATAGCATAAAGGTGGGACTTTGAATTAAAAAGAAAAAGAAGGTACCAAAGGCCAATGAATTATTCCTTAGAATCCGTTATATTATGATACAGACAGCCTGAACAGGAAGGGTGCATCTACTCTACCTTTTCAACAAACTCAAAGGCTGTTGATGTTAAAATGTTACTTTTGTGGATGGTATTGCAAAGCGGAGTATAAATACATGTACTGATCAAACCGTGTTAATAAAATCTAGCTTTCCGTTTGTACTGTTAATGTATATTATACATTAATATCAACGATACTAGCAATAATTAGCGAAAAAATGCTTCCCTGGTTAATAAAGCTGGAGCTTAGTTGCAGATGGAGAGAAGACCTTTTAATTGTCTTCAGATAAGCAGTTCAGTCTAGGGTATGAAGTGAATTCTCAGAAGCTCAGCTACTTCCACTTAAAATAATTTGGAGAATGGCTTAAGGAATCTGTTGTTAAAATCAAATTTGCAAGGGGATGATTCTCTGTTTTAATGAGTTTCACAGTATTTGCATCAGGTGAGAATTGATTAATAATTTCAGAATAGGGCTATTTACACCAAATAGTTATGTGTAGTTACTGCATCCTAAGCTGTAATGCCATTTAGCATTCATCCTAGCTTTCAGTTTAGTTTTCTTGATGCTGGAAATGCAAAAATTAATGCGAACGGCTTCGGTTACATCTTATTTCTTTCATTTGGGATTTAGAGATGGGTGGGGTAAGGAACTCAAAACATTACTGTCTCTAAGTGGTAGAAAGAGTTATTGTAGTTATTTTTTCACCTTTAGATAGTCTT